CTATAACAATACTGAATAAATAATATGTATTTGCACTCGGCTATATGTAATGACTATATAATATGCACACATGTCTTGCTTTACAGTAGCTTACAATAAGTCACTACACAAAAGTTTGCTTAACGCAAACTTATCACATATATAAAACATTCTACACAGTAGAATGGCAATACCTGTTGTAAGTTATTCTTAACTAAGTAGGGTCCAATGTTGTCAGCTCAGAAACACAGTTGAAAAAAAAGAGACAAGAAAGAAAAAGTGAGAGAGGAACAGAGAATTGGCAGTCATATTTGGCAATCAAATCTTTGCACAAGTTGACAACAGAGGTTGTGTCTTTGTTTGGGTAACTAGCAGCAGTCTTTGCTCAGCACACGTGCCTACGCGTCATTTAAAACTTGAATGAGATTATCGAGACCGAAGAGGAACCCTTCTTCGTGGTTTCCAGGTTTCCAGGGGGTACGGTGGTCAAGCGTTCTGTCGTCGGGAATAGGGACCGTCTTGGCGAAGTCGATCAACCACGCTCCAACTTCCCGATCGTCGTACAGCATGAAAATACTGCAGCCAATGACCTGCAACACAATCGAAGGGAAAACGTCACACATGTGCTCGACGAAGGGCGAGAGGATCAAGCGACCCAAACACGGAGAGGACTCGCAAAAGGCTTCTTCAACAGGTCGGAAACTCACCTCGTGTGTGCGGAAGAACTCGGACTGCTCTACCCGGTCGCGCATTTGGCAGAGGCGGGTGTGGAGTCTCCGCTGCACGTCCTTGCGCCCCCCGAGGAAGTCCGTCATCCTGCCCACCACCTCCTGGCGGCTCGACACCTTGGCGAGGTCCGAGTTGCGCGGCGGCAGTCCTCGCTCCTTCATGGCGTCCACGCGGAAGCCCAGGAAGTGCGTCGAGCTCTGCTGCTCTCTGAACTGCATGTAGCGCACCTTCGTCACGGCCTTGGCCGCGTGCTCCTCGGCCGTGGGCGCCGACGCGTCCAGGGCGACCATCTTCTGGTAGAGGTCAGCGCGCGCGGTGGGGTTGTCCACCTCCGACTCGAGGAACGTCCGGGTGCCCATCTTGACGTCGATGACGTGCGGGTCCGAGAAGCCATGCAGTAAGTCCTGCAGCTCGATGAAGGTGTGGTCCCGGTAGGACACGCTGCCGTGGTAGCGGGGCACGAGGCCGCGGAGTGCGGGGTCGCAAGATAGGGCCTCGTACGCCATTTTCTCGGTGTTGTCGCCAACCTGGAGAGGGGGAGAACAGCTTCTTTAGTACATGATGCTCACCCAGCTCGTCAGCTACACTGCCAAACGCCTCGCCCGCGGCGCCTGACTTTCTTCAGCCGGTCAGGTTCGGCAGGTCGGCACGGCCGCCCCGGGAGGCCCCGCCCAGATGGGCCACAACCAACGAAAGTGCTCGCGCCAAATTTACTTTCAGCTGGTTCCGGAGGCCAAGTGGGTCGGGGTCCCGGATGCATCTCGTCTCCCCCCCCCCCTGCCCCACACTCTCCCACGCCTTTCTCCCTGACCTACCTTCTTCCATATCCGGCCGGGCCCCGCGGGGGCGAAGCAGTCGGGGTGACCCGCGAGCTGGAACCAGGCGGACGCTTGCGCGCTGAACACCTGGTGCACCTGGGCGTTGTTAGTCTGAGCGAGGGCCTGGTTCAGGGCCTGGCTGCCGGACTTGAGGAGGACGTCGGAGGCCGGGGCGGACAGCTCGAGCGCCTGCTGTGGACACAGAGGGAAGGCGGGGTGTTAGTCACGGCGTTGGTGGGTGTGGGTGCAGGACTCATCGCTGCGCACGCCGCCGACCCTGGGACGCCAAGGTCGCGACCCCCAGCGCGTCGTGGTCGGGACCCGCGGCGTGCCCGCCGGCCAGGACGCCAGGACAGCCCAAGGGGGCCAGCGCGGCCCTCCACTCGCCAGCCTCGTAGAAGAGACAGGCGAATGACGTCAGCAGCAGCCTTTAGCCTTACCAGAAAGCCTCGCCAACAAGACTGGCGCGACGGGGTCCCCTACCGGTCCCCGCGCTGCCTCCCGCCCCGCCCCGCCCCTCCGGACTGACTGGCAGTGACCGTTAGCGACCCGAGGTCCGGCACGCACTCCGCGCCTAGGAGGAGCTCGGCTCCCGGACGGCCCCTCCGGTCCGCTTGCCATCGATCATCGAGCCCGCCGAGTGCGTGCGCACGCGTCATGCACGCGCGGCGAGTGTCGAAACGCGGAAGCGCGCGCGCGGTCGCTTCGGCGGGTTTCACGGTCTGCACGCCCCGCCCCGCCCCGCCCCGCCCGCTGGAGTTTCTGTCCCCGTGGTGTGCGTGAGTGAGTGGAGTGGACGGTCGGAAAGTTGTCCCGTCCCGCACATGTACGTCACCAGACCCGCATGGGAAACCAGAACCACCCTTCCCTTCTCCCGCCCTCTCTCCCCGCCCTCGCCTCTCCCCCGATCATCAATGGTCAGCAATGCGATGACGCCCCGGACGCCCCTACCCGACAATCGCCTCGGAGAGAGATTCCCGTCACGGGCTGCAGGCCCAGCGCGACCAGGAAACGGGACAGGCATTTCCTCGCTCGGCTGGTCCTGGTCCGGGTATTCCTACCGCCATAAAGTTGCGCCCCATAAAGGATCCCCGGCCACCCCGTCACCAAGTCTGTCGTACTCACCAGGGCTAGGCACTTGAGGAGGGAGCCGTGCTGGGGACCGTGCTCATCGCGGTCGTCCTGGTGATCTCTGCCCTTCCGCCATCGCCTGTCTCGCCACACGTCCACACCGGATTTGGTGCCCGCCTAGAACAAACAGGAAGCCAAACGTTACACTCGTGTACTTTCTCCACACAGCATGCACACATGGGGCTTCACCTCCTCCCCGACGCGTCGACGGCGTCCTCTCCCCTCCCCGCGGGCCTCCGAGGCGGATGTGCGCGGGGAGGGCGGGGAAAAGGGGGCAAG